CGATGCTAGCTTCGACACAGATCTGGATGACTCTAAGTCACAAACCGGATACATGTATATTTTGAATGGTGGGGCAGTAAGCTGGTGCAGTTGCAAGCAAAGCGTTGCGGCGGGATCTACATGTGAAGCGGAGTACATGGCAGCCTCGGAGGCAGCACACGAAGCAGTCTGGGTGAAGGAGTTCATTACCGACCTAGGAGTCATACCCAATGCGTCGGGCCCGATGACTCTCTTCTGTGACAACACTGGAGCTATTGCCCTTGCCAAGGAGCCCAGGTTTCACAGGAAGACCAGGCATATCAAGCATCGCTTCAACTCCATTCGTGAAAGTGTTCAAAATGGAGACATAGAGATGTGTAAAGTACATACGGACCTGAATGTAGCAGATTCGTTAATTAAACCTCTCCCTAGAGCAAAACATGATCAACACCAGAATTCCATGGGTGTTCGATTCATCACAATGTAACTAGATGATTGACTCTAGTGCAAGTGGGAGACTGTTGGAAATATGCCCTAGAGGCAATAATAAAATGATTATTATATTTCCTTGTTCATGATAATTGTCTATTATTCATGCTATAATTGTATTATCCGGAAATCGTAATACATGTGTGAATACATAGACCATAATGTGTCCCTAGTGAGCCTCTAGTTGACTAGCTCGTTGATCAACAGATAGTCATGGTTTCCTAGCTATGGACATGGGGATGTCATTGATAACGGGATCACATCATTAGGAGAATGATGTGATGGACAAGGCCCAAACCTAAGCATAGCACAAAGATCGTGTAGTTCATTTGATGTAGCTTTTTTGGATGTCAAGTATCATTTCCTTAGACCATGAGATTGTGCAACTCCTGGATACCATAAGAGTGCCTTGGGTGTGCCAAACGTCACAACGTAACTGGGTGACTATAAAGGTACATTACAGGTATCTCCGAAAGTGTCTGTTGGGTTGGCACGAATCGAGACTGGGATTTGTCACTCCGTATGACGGAGAGGTATCTCTGGGCCCACACGGTAATGCATCATCATAATGAGCTCAATGTGATCAAGTGGTTGATCACGGGATCATGCATTACGGTACGAGTAAAGTGACTTGCCGGTAACGAGACTGAACAAGGTATTGGGATACCGACGATCGAGTCTCGGGCAAGTAACGTACCGATTGACAAAGGGAATTGAGTACGGGATTGATTAGGTCCTCGACATCGTGGTTCATCGATGAGATCATCAAGGAGCATGTGGGAGCCAACATGGGTATCTAGATCCCGATGTTGGTTATTGACCAGATAGTCATCTCGGTCATGTCTGCTTGTCTCCCGAACCCGTAGGGTCTACACACTTAAGGTTCGGTGACGCTAGGGTTGTATAGATATGAGTATGTAGTAATCCGAAAGTTGTTTGGAGTCCCGGATGAGATCCTGGACGTCACGAGGAGTTCCGGAATTGTCCGGAGGTGAAGAATTATATATAGAAAGTGTAGTTTCGGCCATCGGGAAAATTTCGGGGTCACCGATATTGTATTGGGACCACCGGATGGGTCCCGGGGGTCCACCGGGTGGGGCGACCCATCCCGGAGGGCCCCATGGGCTGAAGTGGGGAGGGGAACCAGCCCATAGTGGGCTGGTGCGCGCCCCCCCTTGGGCCCCCCATGCGCCTAGGGTTGGGAACCCTAGGGGAGGGGGCGCCTCCACTTGCCTTGGGGGGTACTCCACCCCCTTGGCCGCCGCCCCCCTAGGAGATCCCATCTCCTAGGGCCGGCGCACCCCCTAGGGGGCCTATATAAAGGGGGGGAGGGAGGGCAGCCGCACCTCAAGTCTTGGCGCCTCCCTCTCCCCTGCTACACCTCTCCCTCTCGCAGAAGCTCGGCGAAGCCCTGCTGCGTTCACTGCTGTATCCACCACCATGCCGTCGTGCTGCTGGATCTTCATCAACCTCTCCTTCCCCCTTGCTGGATCAAGAAGGAGGAGACGTCATCCGCTCTGTACGTGTGTTGAACGCGGAGGTGCCGTCCGTTCGACACTTGGTCATCGGTGATTTGGATCACGGCGAGTACGACTTCATCATCCCCGTTCTCTTGAACGCTTCCGCTCGCGATCTACAAGGGTATGTAGATGCACTCTCCTCTCGTTGCTAGTTGACTCCATAGATTGATCTTGGTGAAACGTAGAAAAAAAAATTGTTTTCTGCTACGATCCCCAACATGTATAATATCAATCATAACATAGTGCGTGTAACAAAGCATATAATTTCTATCTCATGTTCTCATACTTTTGTAGGCATGTAGACTGCATATGGTTAGAAAATTGTTGTTTCTAAGAGCTTGACCAACATCTATTGTCCAGTTCTTCCATGCCAGCGGGATCCAAAGGAAAATAAGGATAATTAAGATGTACTCCCTCTGTAAACTAATATAAGAGCGTTTAGATCACTACTTTAGTATTCTAAACACTCTTATATTAGTTTACGGAGGGAGTACTTTTGTGGGACATTCAACACATCATCACTTTATGAATAAATTTGAATTCTCAAATTACAAGCCTCCAAATTGATATGCCGGTTTGTCACCCTCACTACTACAGAAAAGATCATTCTTCTTTTACACACACACACACACTACTCCTAACGGTTATCAGACATAGACCTCAGATGATTTTTCAATTCACATGTAAGCTATAGTCGCCAATACTCATGGCAGGACAGATAGTTTCAAAACCACATGCAATACTCACATAGCTCGGGTGGCTTGCAATACATGGCTGCATCCAAAATTATTATCAGAAGGGTTTAGAGCACACGTCTCAGGCGGTTTAGCATACAAAACCTCCAATACTTGGACAAAACAAAGCATCCTTGCCAACTGGCCGACCGCCTCCAATACTTCAAGCTTCGAATATAACTGTACAATTGCAAAAAAATAGAACATATCAACCTTATTGTTAATGAGTAATAACAAATTTGTTCTACCATCTTCAATGGTATTCTTGAAACCAACAAAAAAATGCCAGCTAGTGAAGGGAAAGAATAAGAAGTACTAATCATAATCTTCGACAAAGACAAAGGAGAAAGTTAGGAACTTTAAAATCATTTAGGAAAATTCGTTTTGCACCAAAGCATATATACAGTGGTGAGCATAACTTACAAAAATGGCAATAGCAAAAATTGCAAGCCAGAAAAGGATGTATCATGATAAACTTTTTGAAATTTCATGCAATTCTTTAGCCCATCGAGAGATGGTAACATTATAGCCCATTTCACGAAAATATTCAGCAAACATAATTCCTGGATTAGAGGGGGGGAACACATGGCCATAACACAAAGTTTTACGACTATCTGTGACTAAAAATGGTACTTTGAAATTGATTAATGCACATAACATTGTCATGAGGTCCGGGGGGCATGAAGTTTGCTCTCAACAGATGAGCCATGGTGTTCTCAATCTCACCGTTTGCAGCGTGTATAATGATGCTATTTTAGGATTGTCACATACGATAGATGCTAAAGGTGTATAATAGATCAAGTAACATGCTTAAGATAAGACTGCCTTTTTGATCATTATGCATGCCCTACAGACTCACAAAACACTTGGTGTGACAGTGCTTCCTCGGCCTTAGGTGCGGAGGATTCCTCCCTCCGTAGTGGCGGTTTCATAGTGTTGTTGTTTGCAGGACCTTCAGGGGAGTGGCGGAGCTTGAAGCTCAATCCTGGCGGGCGAAAGAGATGAAAATAACCAGTGGGCATGTGTTCTAAGGCCTCATGGATATATGTACTGTGTATAAATTTTTAAATGTTGGGTGGGCCACAGCACGGGATGGCCCCAACGTAGCTCTACCACTGCTTCAAGGGTAAAACTGTATTTTCTTTCTTCTTCTCTTTGGTTCCTTTTTGCTTAAGGGAAATTCATTCTGCACCAAAGCGTATATACAACAGTGAACATAGGTTACAAAAATGGCAATAGCAAAAAGTTGCAAGTTAGAGAAGGAAGCATCATACCGAACGTTCTGAAATTTCACGCAATACTTGGCCCATCAGGACATGCTACATTATAGCCCATTTCACGAAAATATTCAGCAAACATAATTCCTGGATTAGAGGCATATAGGACGCACTCAAAGGTTACATCGTAAAATTATTAAATCTGATTTTTTGTAGCAAACTTTGACAAATTCCTTGGGTGCTTACAAAAAAATTATAATGAAATGGCATTCATGAAAGTTGTGACAAAAAAAAATTGATGCTCCAAAAATGCTATTTCTAAAGCATTTTGGACTGCTGGTTTTTTTTTGCCATGACTTCCACCAATGTCATTTCATGATTAAATTTGCCAAGCACTCAAACCATTTGTCAAAGTTTTCCACACAAAAAGTTCAGAAATTTTCGAAACCTTTTCGGATTTTGCTGTTCATGAGCTCGGGAGCAGACTTTCGTGGACACCTGCCCTTTCCTTAACAAAACAGCTTTGCTTGGGGTGATCTGCCATGTGGGACCGGGTGAAGTAAACATGGACTCGCTACAATCGGGCTCATCGCCGAACGCCGGCCAGGGCCAGCGATGCACGGTGTGAGCGCTGCCGAACTCCAAATTCTGATTCCTAGCACTGCCAAACCCAAACGATAAAAGAAGCTCCTGTCTTTTGACAGGCAAACTCGATCTACATCCGACTCCAGATCCTTTACCGTGCAGCACTAAAGACCAGCAGGTCAGATTACCAGCATCAGCAAGGAACATCCAACTCCATATGGGCAGAATAAACATTCACCAAAAACAATCTGATCGAAGCAGCTAGGCATTTCGGTTTTCAACTTTACACAAAATCCATAGCTGGGCCTTCATCTCAAGGCAGCTGGATGGATGGGTATTGTCATATAACTTATACATATAGATTTTGGCCGCACCCTAGTAGCTACTAGCAACTAAGGTATGGGGGGTGGGAATCGTCAGCTACCTTATAATACATATATGTACACAAGTCTTTTCGTCGTCATACTGTATGTTTGCTAAGGATCTCCATCGGCGGGTTTCTCCCCCATCTTGCCATCATCCCGGGGCAACGCTTTCGCACGGTCCAGTATCGATTCTCTGATAGCCTTGTATTTCTTTAGCTCCTCCAGTGCGTCCGCTGCCGTCTTTGATTGGAGCAAGGCAGAGCTTGATGCCATGTCGCCGTGTTCCTCGGTCATGACCCTCTGAACTGAAGATTCTTGAGGAACTGGGGGAGGAGCTTCGATTGATGGGCGGCTTGCCCTGAGGCCCGGGGCCGTCTTGAGCATGCGCACAAGAGCGCCGATGCCTGCAGCTGGAGTCCTTGTCATCGAGCCTCCAGCGTCCTGGTTTGTCTCTTGGCCCTCCCTATCCGAGATACCAACCCTGGAAAATTTCAAGTTTAGCTTGCGTGAATCAAGATAGGTGGATATCCGAGGAATGAAAAGACAAGTAAATACATTGCTCCCTTCCACTGTGTCTTCTTAACTTACACTAATAATAACATAATGTTAACTGCTAATGTCTGCATTGCTGGATAGGAGGATAAATGCATAGTGATCAACTTAACCCAACATTATCAAGTTAACAGAACATTTAGTCAGTCAACGTGGAATAAGCTTTACTTCCTAGAACCTTCTTGCTTAACAAAATGGTGTACAAATGCTACAAATAATAACTAATTATAACAGCAAACAAAGAACAAAGAGTGGTTTATCCTGCAAAGAGTAACTTCATATGCTGGATAAGTAATTCCCCAACCTGTTTGGCAAACCATATTCAATCATCAAGGGGTGATTGGCTTCCTGAATCACCACCGGCTGGCCCATTGGGGGCTGGGATAGGCTGGTTTAGCAAGACAGGCTATGGGGTAGGTAAGGGCGGTTGTTTGGTTAGTTGCAGGACAGCATGAGTGATTACAACTTAAAACTATAATGTGGTTAGAAACACTTTGAAAACCGTTAAAATGTTACGCTCCACCCCACTGTTCATTATTCTACATTATACAACTTTTAATATACCCTAATCCATTTAACCTCAGTTCAAAACTGCGACACTTATTTTGGATCAGAGGTAGTAGTACAAATAATCAATATACATGCTAATTATAAAACTACCAACTTAATTGGCTAGAAGACATGGTTATTAAAAGTATATGCTCGATAGCAACATGTCACAGCACCCACTTGATACACATTAATTACCCTTAATTAGTCGCATTGTGTACTAATCATTTGATAAAGATTAGTACGTGCTAGCCACTGAAAAAATTGCCTGCATGCGGGGGAAGCTTGATATGAGCTTCTGACTGCTCTATTTTTGACAGGATATGAGCTTCTGCTCTAGCCTGGCTCTGGAGATGCACCTGCATCTGACAACCTGGCCAGCTGATGCAGGCCACCCGACCATTGCGAGGTTCCCAATAAGATGCCACACTACTGGACCAAACTCGTCGGGATGCACCCTAGACCCTACCAATCACACTCCAGCATGCATGACCACATCCTAAGAACAAGAATTACAAGGGGATTAAAAAAATACTGAATGACATTTAGCTCCTATGTGCCATATGAACATTTGGCGCTATATGCTTATATCGATTTGAGTATAACTAATGGTCTGCAAATAGGATATGGACAGTGAACGGTCAAGTACTTTTATCCATATAATAATTTCATGCTCAGAAGGACACCTTTCAATATTTGGGGTCAATGCTACGGAAGGATGGGGATATCGATGAAGATGTGAACCATCGAATCAAAGTAGGATGGATGAAGTGGCGCCAAGCTTCTGGTGTTCTCTGTGACAAGAGAATGCCACAAAAGTTAAAAGGCAAGTTCTATAGGATGGCGATTCGACCCGCAATGTTGTATGGCGCTCAGTGTTGGCCGACTAAAAGGCGACATGTTCAACAGTTAGGTGTGGCGGAGATGCGCATGTTGAGTTGGATGTGTGGCCACACAAGGACCGGGTCCGGAATGATGATATACGAGATAAAGTTGGGGTAGAACCGATTGAAGAGAAGCTTGTCCAACATCGTCTGAGATGGTTTGGGCATATTCAGCGCAGGCCTCCAGAAGCTCCAGTGCAAAGCTGATGGCTAAAGCGTGCTGATAATGTCAAGAGAGGTCGGGGTAGACCGAACTTGACATGGGAGGAGTCCGTAAAGAGAGATCTGAAGTATCACCAAAGAACTAACCATGGACAGGGGTGCGTGGAAGCTTGCGTGCCAGAACCATGAGTTGGTTGTGAGATCTTACGGGTTTCAACTCTAGCCTACCCCAACTTGTTTGGGACTAAAGGCTTTCTTGCTGTTGTTGTAAAAATCTCATGCTCATTGCCTAAAATAAACTTTTCATTTTCATAGAGTTAAACTTAGAGTATGCATGATATTTTCACTTCGAATGTCTACCTACTTGATTGTGAAATCCTTGAAGAGTTAGAATGCAACCATTTTTTACTCCAAAAAAAGAGCATATATCCTCATTCCACACTGCCCACTCCTATATACACCACACGAGACTTTATCAAAATCAAGCCAGACTTGACTCAAACCGGGGGGTGGCCCATATTGGTCCAAGGGTAGGGGATAAGCTAAGTACCCAGCCTTTCAATGTTTAGCTCCAAGCTAAGAACAAGATGAGGTATCAGAGCTTGTTTGCAATAATACCGAATTAGTAACAATTGCTTACAGTGTCTAGCACCTTCCATATTGCCTTCTCAGGTTAACTGATGCAAGTCTACCCCCCACACAGCCTAACCCACATCTGACTGTTAGCCAAAAAAATCTCCTACTAAAGATATAGGTTACCTTTGATACTGGTCCAGAGCTTTTCATGTACACTGGAAGCTACCCCGTATGACAATCTTTATGTTTCTGTGAATGCAACACACTTATACACGTACTACGCCTAGAAAAAAGTAGAAGCCAGGCCGAAAAGTTGTGTGTGGCACAGTACATACTACATACTGAGCACTGAGAAACAAGGAGACAGAAACGAGCTAATGTAGGAAATAAGGAACTTAGGAAATAATGAGAACCTTGAGAAGTAGGAGGAGAAAACTTGAAAAATATTAAAATTAAGTCTCTCAAAAGTGGTTTCACTGAACAAAGATGAGCAGGTGTATATTCATCCTCACGCACAAGACTGTACTTTATATTTATCCTCTAGGTGGAAGACCGAGGATGGTTTCATTTGAACAACGGACAGCCCAGATAATTAAAATGCAGACATTTCTGAACTACAAACATTGCAAGTGATCAGCTAGCTTATCTCGATAATAGAAAGAACAAAATGTGTTCAAACCATCAAAAGAACCATGAAAAATGAGTTATCCGCTGATATATTGCAATTAGTGTAAGGAAAAAAGCTGCCCTGAGTTCTGACTTCTATAACAGAAATACAAGCATATTATATGTAGACACTGAACATCTATACTGGCACTTCTAAGCAAACATGATGCCTTCTCATTTAGAAAATACTAATACAATAACTGGATAATTTGCAACTTCAGTTGAATATAGTGAGTGCAACAAACAAGTTGATAGACCTAAATGAGCATTGGAGAAGTATATTATTGCCCTCTTATTGTGGAACAAATAACAAAAGCATCCAGTAACCTGAACTAACTATAGTATCTTGATTTCTGATTATTATTATTTTGCCTCTGAATATGTTTGTGTCTTAAACATCCATTATCCTTCATGAAGCTAACACATGGTAGTGGTTAGCTGCCATCGGTCCATATTTACTAGAGATTTAACATCCGTAAGATACAACAGTACAATTTGTGTACATGATGTCAGAAGCATGAAACATTACACCATGCAGTTTGAAAATGAATAACTGTGCATTTATCCTAGAGTTGCTGCTTCAAGGGCCACCTGAAATATAAGATGGTCCACAGCAGAATATGGGAATAACTTAGTTTTCAGATCACTGGGCATCTGATTGACATAGCCGTCTTAGTGAGATTCCACAACTACAGAATTGTCTTAACTAAACTAAAATAAAGGACAGCCCTGTAATTGCCAGATTTAGGATAAAGATATATGCTATTGCACTTGAGCCACTATGTGATACCAAAATCTATATGCAAGGAGAACCATACAAGTTTTCATGAGCATGTGCATGCAAAGGGAATCAGACACAAACAACAAGGAACAGCTTTAACACTTGGGTCCTATGGCACAATGTCATAATCATATTCTGAAAGGAGGAGACGAAAACTACCTGTTAAGTTGATCAATAATGATATCTCTATCTTCCCATGCAAATGCCAACTCCCGCTCATCCAGTTCATCCGTGATAAAAAGTTTGCTCGCAGTCCGAGTCAACTTCAGTCCATGAAAATATCCCAAATCATATTTATCAAAAGATAGCACCTGATCAAAGACAAAACCAGAAAATTCAACAGTAAAAATGTGAGGTGGATCCAAAAGCAGAACCTCGTAATAAAACTACTGTTGCTACAGCAAGCTACACACATTGCTTGAGAAGATAATAAAATAAACTATGTGATTACCTTTTGCATGGCCGTATTATTCTCAAATTCACCAAACCTGACCAAATCCTTCCTTACATTTGAATCTCCATCAGGCGATGGGGTTAGGTTGTAGTTTTGAGATGGGAGCTGGTGTTTACCCTTGAAAGATGGAGAAGGAGGCAGTCCACTACCTCCACCATCCCTCCCAGTGGGAATGACCACAGGAGCACTCTCATATCGGAACAAAGAATTTTTTGGGTAGCTAGCAGAAGGGGAACGGGATGGCGATGGTGACAACAGTGGTGACTGATAGCAGTCTTCAAATCCTGTACTTTTTTTCTTCCCAGAGGATATTGTGCTATGTGGATGCAAACGTGTTAGAGGACTATCATGCAAAAGAGGAGATGGTGATACCGATGGTCTAGCTCCAGGGTCAATACTCCAACTGTGACGCCTAGTCATTGCAGCACAATCAGGTGCAATGCCATCTGAAGGCAGGGAATTGAACGTCCTGAGGAAGTCTGTTGTGGGGCTCCCGACATAATCCATTATAAGCTCTGTTGACATGTGTGTGGTTGGCTCTGGTGCTGCCACCACCTCCAGCACTGGCACATAAGAAACTGACAAGCTCAGGCGGCCAAACAGAGTTTCAATTGGAGCAAATGCATAGTGCTTCATCTCTGCATCCTCTGCCCTAGTAAACGGCTCGACGAATGATGATATCTTGTGTGACAGGTTAAGTGGACGGATTCTCCCAGATGAATTCAACTCCCTGAAGAGATTGTAGGCTGGCAAGAGCCTGACAACCAGATGCAATGACCGAAGTAACACTGTTGAGCCCTTGTATGTACTCCTGTACAAGCTATGATCCTCAGCCGGGCTGTTCCTAGACTTCCTGCTATGGTTCTTGCTGCCATTACCATTGCCACTGCCAGGCTTGCTGGTTTCATACTGTATCACCCACCTCTCTATGATCTTGCCACCCTCAGCACAGGTAGTGTTGGGATTGTCACGCCGGAGCATCACAATATCAATAACCAATGGCTCAAGATTGCTCTGTCTCCACAGGTCAAAGTTCTCAAGTGCAGCTGGGCAGTCCCGGAGGGCAAGGTTGAACCACCTGTCCCGTGGCTGGCTGCCAGAGAGCGGCGAAGATGGCGGTGAAGGCCGCGTGAAGCTGCGTGATGATTCGTAGGGCGAGCGGGACTCCAGGATGATGTGGAGGCTCTTGGCAAAGAACTCGGTGATCACTTGCTCCACCATGGGCGGCTCTGAGGCAGTGGCGGCCATAGTTATGTGGTTGGGGATGATGCCAAAAGCAAGAAGTTGGTCAAATTTGGAGCTACTGGAGGCAAGCCGGTGGAAAGTGCCAAAAACTGAGAATTTTGTGATTCTGGAGCCTCTCCGGCAGCTAGATGGCAAACAAAATTCACAAATTCTAGGTGGTCTAGAACTGCGATTTGATCTACGAGTTTGATTCCTTGGAGCAAGAGAGCGAAGCTACCAGATCAAATCCGATGAAATTGGAAGGCTCGCAGACAGAGCAAGAACCCTAAACTAAACCCATCAAGAACTGAAGAAGAACAAAAAGTCGCCGCGCCTTGAAACTGCACAAAAAACGCAGCTTTTCACCCCGATTCCCCCACGCAACAAGCAGAGAAAAACACCAATTCCGTGGGGAGCAACGCAACGAAACTAAGAATCGCGCAAGAAAAAAAAAGTTTCGAGTTGAACGGAAGAACCCTAGCAAAATCCCTAGAAAGCTAAGCGAGCGCGCTCGTGGAATCCCAATTCGAGCCCAAGAAACTGGAAGGGGAGCCGCATTGGAAGCGAGCACCTGCTGTCTCGTGGAGGATCGGGGCGGCCGGGGCCTAGTAGTGGTTGCCGACCACGATGAGTCGCGGCGGAACTGGAGGTGAACTCATGGCTCCATGGAGGGGGAGGGGATAAAAAAGAGATCTCCGGAAGCCGTTGGCTCCATGGAACAATTTTATCTTATTTCTCCTTTCCTTTCTCTAAACGACTTTTTCTCCTCGCTTTGTTACTTTATTGAGTAAAATGCATTAGTGCACCCTAAACTTGCTGGTTAGGACCAAAACGGTCCTCAAACTCTGAAACTGTACTAGTACGGTCCTAATACTTGTTCATACGGTGCTCATACGGTCCTCCAATTTGATTCACAGGTCCTGGCGTACCTGAAACATACGAGTTCGCTGTACAGAGCGTATTGGGCTGGCCATGTCAGCGTTCGTAGGGCCCACTAGTCAGTTGACTTGGTCTCCGGTGGGCAGAAATCCCCAATACGCTCTCAAATCCCTAACCCTTGCACACTCCCGCGGCGCCCAAATCCCTCCATCCGCCGCCGTACTCGCGTAGCCGGCGCCACACTGCCGCCCCAAATACCTCCTTTCGCCGGACTCCCGCACCCATGGGTGGCGCGAGCGTGACCGTGAGCTCGGTCTCAGGCGAGGGCGGCAGCCTCGTATCGTCTCTCCCGTCGGGCGTAGTCGTCGCTGCCCCGCCCGTCGTCAGCCGTGCTTCCGACCGGAGACCGGCCACGTTCTCCTTCCGCGGCCGGCTTCCCTGGATGAGCTCGTTGGTGCTCGCGACGGCTGTCGGCGATGGTAGTTCAGCGGTGACGCTCAGCGCTTTTGGCGGCCATGGAGAAAAAGTGCACTGTCCTGCCGCAGAGGTGGGCATGGAGGTGACCTGTCGCTATACTTCCCGTCGTCAGACAAGTGCAACACGACCCATTAGTTCACCACAATGCTGGGTAGTGTGGATGGCAATGACGGCTCAGGTGATGCTCTTTGAGGAGTGCATCAAGTGTGTGTCCTGTTTCTGTGTCCAGTGCATGAAGATCATGTACTTGTGTGTGTCAAGTTGCTATGGCTTTTGTAAACCAGTTGTTGCATGTATGGAGCAACTTGTGATTTTAGTTTATGAGTGAAATGAAATGAACTTATTTGAACTAGATTTTTGTGAAATTTTAGCATGAAAATGAACAATACTTGCTAAATGTAAATGGCGAAACAAAATCAACGATGTTGACTGCATTTTGGTTTATAGAACTGGAATAGAATAACAGTACAGACCGCTACTGGCACAATGCACTGTTTAAAATATAAAGCATTTGCTGAATGAGAATAAAAAGTGTTGAAGCTCAGAAACAAGAGATTCACACAAATTAAAGCACACATAAACATGATTTTTGCAGCTGAAAAAACTGGGTAATTAAGTTCCACAGTATAAATAACACATGGTCTGCAATAGTAGTTTCCTAATCAGAAGACACCTCTTACACTTCATGATCAGCACAATGATCATAAACAAAACATTGCCATTACAAGTTTTGCACCTGATCATAAGCAGAAACACAAAAAGAGATGAAGATCATTCCAAACTTCACATCCCTTTACCTAAATTCGTCGAACATGTTAACCTTTCTAGGTTTCTTAAAACATGTCATGTTCTGATTGGTAGGTGCAGTTTTTTTCTTTGTCTTGTTTCCTTGAACAACACAAGGATTAAATCTTGCCTCCTCGATCCTTGAACTAGTTCCTGCAGCTCTTTCTTTCATTTGTTCCTCCAACACGGCTTGCTTCCTTACTTGATCTGCCATTTGGTCATCCATGGCTTTCTTGTTTGTTTCTTCAGCTCTCCTCTTTCTCAGCTCCCATTCTTCATTCCTTGTTGTGTCTTGTTGATTGTTCTGCTGCTCCCAAGCATTTTGCCTTGCAGCCTCCTCAGCCTCCTTAAATTTTCTCCAACTCTCCTGCCTCTCAAACTCCTCTGCTTGATGTATTAGAAAAGCTGCCTCCTCCTGCTGGTATTTTGTATTTGCAATCATTTTCTTCTCCTCTGCAATCCTTCTCTTCTCCTCGGCCTTCTTTTGTTTTTCTATCTCTGCATTTCTTTTTCTCTCATCCATCATTTGCCTTTTCTTCTCTGCCATTTCAAGTTTCTCCTCTTGGGCTTTTTTCTTTTTTTCCTCAGTAGCTCTTCTCTTCTCTTCTGCAACAAGTCTCTTTTCCTCTAGTATAGTTTTTTTCTTTTCCTCAGCTGCTTGTTTCTTAGCTTCCAGCTCTTCCTTTCTCTTTTGAGCTGCAAGCTTAATTTTGTCCTCTTCTTCTTTCAACTTTGCCATTGCTGCTTCAAACTTTGCTAGGTCTGCAACTTCTCTTTTCTCAGCTGCGGCTCTCAGCTTTGCCAATGCTAGAACCTCTCTTTTCCTGTGAACATTGCCTTCCTTTGTTGCAGTAGTAGGGATAACTGGTGGTTGAGACATGATGTGCTCCTCTATGAAAACAGAATTTGGTAATGGACCTTGATGGACTGCTTCCCTCTGGCTTGCTTCCCTCTGGCTTGCTTCTCTCTGAAATATAACTCAATTTTGAGGATCATACATGAAACATTTGTACATGAACTTGCTATGTGTAATGAAAATAAATTACTATAAGTACCTCCTGTGTTAAAATATTAATTATCTCAGGCTGATACAAATGTACTGGCTCTTGAATTAAACCTTCTGTCCGCTGATTCAGGGGCAAATTTTCACAGCTATGTGGGAAATTTGACACTCACCGTACGAGGGCGCCGCCCCTTTCTCATGGCGTTGTACAGGGCCGACCATCGCTGCCGTGCACCGCCGCCTGCAGTTACTGCAGTGCGGCCCTGCGTTCCTCCGCCGTCCCCGCTGCTCGCATGGACCGGCAGAGGTGCCGATCAACCGTCCCTTCCACCGCGTGTTCGCGTCCCTGCTCCTGACTCGAAACAGGGGAAGAAGAGAACGAGTCTCGTACAGATGAGGGCAGATGGGAAATTCTGTACGACTAGTGGGGCCGAACACAAAGTTTACTTCCCCACGTTGACGTGGCCAGCCTCTGTACAGCGAACTCGTATGTTTCAGGTACGCCAGGACCTGTGAATCAAATTGGAGGACCGTATGAGCACCGTATGAACAAGTATTAGGACCGTACTAGTACAGTTTCAGAGTTTGAGGACCGTTTTGGTCCTAACCAGCAAGTTTAGGGTGCACTAATGCATTTTACTCTTACTTTATTATTGTCTTTCTTTCTTTTGCTGCCCGTAAAAACTGTATTTTTTCCTTTGTTTTTGTGCAAGTGTTCTCGCAGCGCGTTTGGTTCGGGGGAATTAGAGATGAGGAATGAGAGTTGAGGGATGAGGAGATTAAAAGTCCACTGTTTGATTAGAGGGAATGGGAGTTTAAGTGGGAAGGGGAATGGGAGTTGAGAAAGCCAATTCCCACATATTTCTTACCAGGGGTACCCTGTTAATTCGTGAGCAGAGTTTTATCCCGTGCTAATTCCCACCATATACCAAACAAGGGAATGTGAGTAAAAATCAACTTCCCATGACTAATCCCTCCATAAACATCCTAATGCAAACTTCCATTCTCATGTCCAAGTATTTACCAAACACGATTCATAGACTTTTCCCAGCATATTTGACTGGTCGTATTTCTTATTCTTGGTTGACACGAGACATGACATATATAATCCGTTTTCAGAGACATGTATAATCCGTTTTCAGAAAAAAGAATGATATTTGCTTCATTCCCATACATCAGTTGCATATAATTTTCATGAGTTCTTTTTATGGGAAAAACATCATGGCAATTTATTTAATTTGGGATAAAGTAACATCATGGAGTACCAGGAGGTAAAAGAAAAGCATGTGTTACATCTATCCAGCATTATCTAATCGAGTGATCGTTGGTTTCATATACCTTTCCCAGCATATTTGACTGGTCGTATTTCTTATTCTCGGTTGACACGAGACATGACATGTATAATCCGTTTTCAGAAAAAAGAATGATGTTTGCTTCGTTCCCATACATCAGTTGCATATAATTTTCATGAGTTCTTTTTATGGGAAAAACATCATGGCAATTTATTTAATTTGGAATAAAGTAACATCATGGAGTACCAAGAGGTAAAAGAAAAGCATGTGTTACATCTATCCAGTCCTCACATATTTTAGAATGCATCTCCTAACAAGAAAATGACACAAAATTCGTTGGAGGAAGACGTTTTGACACATTGGAGTGCTCCTAGCACTCTAACTAGGGGCCAGTTCTAAAACATTGGAGTGCTCCTAGCACTCCTAGCACTCCAATGTGCAAAAATTAGGGGTCAGTCCTAGCACTCCAATTAGGGGCCAGTTCTTTTGGCACATTGGAGTGCTCCTGATTTTTAAAATATGTTTTAGACATAATTTGAAATGTCATAAGATTCTGACAAAATGATTCCCGACTACATTTCGATATC